TATAATGTTTCAGGTCGTTTTGGCCTGGTCAACCCGACCTGATGCACAACATTAGTGCAGACCTCTTCAATTCTTGCCATTAAACATCTAGGTACGATCTGTGACCATTCCAAAGCTTTTAACCGATGCTTCAAACACAAGGCACTAAAGCACATTCACCAAGAAACACCCAAATCAGTCCATCAAAATCAAAAATAATTTGTTGCTTTTTGCACAAAAACATAACAGGCATAACAAGGCATAACAGATCTCCTCTTAAAAAACAAAACAAAACAAAACAAAACAAACATCAACAAATTGCTCAAAGCATCATCAATAAAACTGAAAATGAAACACTAGTACATGTAGATAGAGCAGTGGAACCTGCTAAATACTGAAATACTGCATGCACCGGTGTCCAACTTGTCAACAACGAACTAAACGCCTGGTAAAATAAATTGGAATGACAAGTCGATCACCCATGCAAAACAAGAAGTAAAAAAAAACATGACTAAATAAATAAACAGAAAATCCCTCAGGCCTTCAGTTTGTGAGCGAGGTTCGATCTTGACCCATACCTCATTCAACTTTGAATTAAATGATTTGACCCCGGGGTTGCAGGGTGAACTCTATCCTAATAATGAGAACAGGGGAGGGGTGGAGGTGAAATGACAACGTTTTTGTTGGCAAGCAAATCATTTGGGGTAACGATCCAAGGTCAAACACATTAGCAACAGAATTGAATGGCTGTCTGGGTTGCCAGGGTTCAGGCAGGCCTATTTGAAGAAAAAAAATCCTCTGGGAATTAAAAAAAAGAATGCAGAATTTCATTGAAGCAGAGATGTAGGGTGGGGTTGTAGGCTGTGTTACAAGAAGTATACGTACTTGAGTACATTTTTTTGCACTCGTGCTGATTACCGCTGGGCGAGTAACTGGATTACTTGAGTACTCACGAGTAGTTTATTCTACTCGTTGTTCTACTTGTGGTTTTTCATCTACTCGAGTACTCGTCCTGGCGCGTGTAGAAGCAGGTACTCGTGAGTAGCAATTTAGGGTTTAGGGTTCACGGCTTAATACGTCCCCTGCAAACAGGGAATCACTCCCTCCACTTCTCTCTCCCTAGGATTCTATTTGTCAATAAAGAGAAATTCAAGTAACTGACCCAAAACGTCGCACAGTAAGGATAACTCAGTGCTGAAGAATGTGGTGTGACTTGCACGCTATTAGCTTGTAGTTATTTCCCGTCATACTAACGTATATGTCATTTTTCTGCTTTTACTCGCCAGTACTCGACTACTCGCAAGTAAGTTCTTTGTGAGTACTCGAGTAGAAAATCCACTTCTCGCCCAGCCTTAGTACTCATGAGAATGTACTCATGCTCGCAAGAAAGAAAAATTACCAATACTTGTACATGTACTTGTACTCATGGCAAAGTACCCATAGTCATTCTCGAAGTTATAGAAATCTTCTCCGGTTGGAACTTTATATTTCTTTAAGACTTGCATGCAGGAAGAGAACCAATCATCTAAAGTTGGGACAATGCTATAATTGGGGAGTTGTGGTAACAAAGCAACCTCAATTTTCATCATAAGAATCCCTTTCGGAATCCCTGATGATGGGCAGAGCATACTGTCCGAAATGTTGAGTCTTCGCCCCCCCCCCCAACCCAGTTCCTTTCAGAACCTCATAAACTCATAAAAGAGATTTGTCACAAGGTGCTACGTTAAATCTTTATCTTATTGATATCTTCACCATGCAAACCTTCAAATCTTATTCTCAATTTTGATTTGTATTTTTTTTGTCCCACCAATTCTGGGCATGAACAAAATGGACACTGACTATAATTTCCTCACTGATCACCGACAGTTTTGTAGAATTTACATTTCTTTTGAACAAAGAAAACCCAAGCACAGCTGAGCAAAAGTGAGCATCACTACAATATTCTGGAGATCTCAGGTTCTCATCCCGTTCCTGTCAAAGTTGGCCAATTCCAATTTTCCTTGTGATACCATGATATTAGATTATTAAATTATATTGGTTGAGAACATGTCATGAGTTCATGTCGGCTACTGCAAAAAGTTCAGGAATGACGACCTGATGGACTCAGTACATGTACATGTACATCGCTTCACGTGGAGTACATCACCTCATTTCCCTCAGGAACATCACTTTTCATCATTCTCAAAGGCTTTTTTGACATTTTTGTCCCTGCTGAAAGTTGTACTACACAGCTTGAATAGACACTGGGTACTAAGTAGGTGATGTTATCTGGTGCGTCAGTGTGCCAACGCAACCTGCACAAGTGTCAACGTAGATGTGCATTTCATCAAAGACCAAAGCAATGGACTGTTCAATTAAAAACATATAGGGGTACCAACAGCAGAAAACAACATTATTATTATAAATTTCTGGTAATGAAACCAAGGATTCCTCAAAAGCGCCCTACATGTAGGCACTTTAGCTGAGCACAAGCCTGAAGAAACCGGTCGAGAGAAGACAGTTTTAGAGGTGGGAGGAAAACCCCAGAAGAATATTCTGGGGAAAACTCACCGAAATCAGGCACTGAAAACTCAAACAGCATATTGGCCAATGCAGGAATCGAACCCGGGTCATGCAGGAATCGAACCCGGGTCACAGCGGTGGAAGGCATGGAAAGTACCGCTAGACCAACCTGACTCCCAATACTCAATTAACATGCATAGAGGTGTCAAAAGAGAACAACAATCCCGTCTTTACCAAAACAACATTTCAATTATCATAATGTTACTTGCAAAGAATCAAACAAGTTATAAAAAAATCAACCAAGGTACATTGTATAACAAAACAATCGTCTGCTGTGATATACACGTTCCGTTGTCTGTGGGTTTTGCATGCCCTCAGGGGCAAAAGGGTGCCATTTGTGCTCCTCAGGAGTACAAAACAACATGGACTACATTGTACATCACAGCAGACAACAATTTCAAACTGTTAATTACATTTAATTTGATTATCTATGTTATGGTTCTCAACAGCCACAGAAGACAGTCTTGCACACAAATGTCGACAAACCCCTCAAGGAATTTTCAAATGAACAACTCTGGTTAGTCAATAATGTAACTGAACCAAACAGCTAAAAATATCACAGAGAATGACAAAATATAACACTGAAAAACTAAAGTTACTAATGATTTTGACAAAATGAAGCATTTTTTTTGGGGGGGAGACACATTCCATCAAAGCACAACTCAATGTCAAACAAGCAAAATTGAAAACAAAAAACTATCACATAAAAAAAAAGTGGCAAGTACAAACGACCAGACACATTCCAATTGCATCTAGACACTGCTTGAAACTCAGTGCGGGATAAAGATATATTTCAAATCAATAAATTTAGACACCGGAGGGGAAGGTCCTATTTCAAAACATGCAGCCCATTATCTGATGATAACTTCCGCTGGTGGTTCTAAATGTAAGTCATTTTTTTCCAGTGAAGTTTCATTTTTCATGTGGTATGTCAACTGCAGGGCTTCAAAATACAGGTAAGAGAAACTGGGGCAGTTCAGGGGTGAAACAATTGGCAGGCAGGGGAAGGGGAGGGGCTGCACTGAACACCACCTACTCCAAAATGTTTATACCTGATTCCTTTGGAGCAAAAACATTCCTCAACGGGAGACAATTTAAACGAAATTTCCAGAAATTTCAAAAAGTATTCAATACATTCCTGATAAATAAAAAAAGAGGGTCCTTAAAATTTCTTGATTTTCAAAATGCTTTGGTGTACCCAACAGAAAATCTTAAAATGTACACACATACATGAGATGTAACACAGTGCCTAGAGACACACGTCTAAGGGCAACATGCTGAATATAGTCTTCAATGCACATTAAAATAACAAATGCAACACTACATTTATGATTCAAATATCGACCAATCCTGGCACATTGTCACTTCTATCGCAGAGGCCCCCTTTAATGGCGAAAGCATTGTGCTAGCTACTGTACAAATAATACTGGTATGTCACTGGACAATAGCATGGCATTTGGCTTCTCCACCGAAGGAGGTCTTGTGGGTGGACAGTGATCACGTTGCTGAATTCGTATATTAAAGGCATCAAATTTAACATATGTACATGTACAGGGTTCCTTATGGGACAGAAAACACAATAGAACAATAGACCCCATAAGGAAATCTATCTGCCCCATAAGGGAACGCTATGGAGTTTGAGATTTCAATAGGAACAAAGGAAAACAAAAGACGGAAAACAAGAGTAGGAAAACAGTCTTCCCCACAAGTATATAGACTGCAAGTTCATATTTGTGTAAACACAAATTTGAGATAACTTTTTCCAACTATGAACTCTACACACAGTAAGGTGTTTGCAAAATCAACTGTGAAAAATCAAGAACAAAAATTCTGTCGAAACCTCCACAATCTGGCAAGAATTAAGACTCTTTGCTCAAAGAGCTCCACTGAGGACAGTTTTTGTAATCAGAGAGGAACAACTTATCCTCAGTGAGGGCGCTTTATACAAAGGGTCTATCCTCATCAGCGTCACTTCTCCTGACTAAAACAATGAAAACATGACGACCAAATCCGTCAAACAATTAATGGGAGACTTTTGAGACGCTTGGTGACAGCAAACATATCGGTCCTTTTCAATCATGTGAAAGATGGTGATCTGATACATGGTACCCTGTGTATAATAGGGAACAACACAATGTATACTTCTCCACGGGCAATTTCTATAGGTGAGTACATCTCCACAAGGTTATCGCGAAATATATGGAGTTTACTAAAAAACTAGGAATTTCCAAGGTGCGCTGATCCGTCGCAAATTGAAGTAGTTTATGTAAGGGATATTAAATCCAAATTTCAGCCCAGGGAATTAATTCTGGTTAAAATAGGAGCATTTTGAAACTAAATTTTCAAACTCAAAATTTTAGTTCATGAGAACAAAGAAATGACTGCACATAACAAGGATACAAATTCCAGTATGTGTGTGTGCCCATGTTCAAAATGACGGGAACAAAAATGAAAAGGACCGGTGTGCTTGCTGCCACCGAGCATCTCGAAAGTTTCCCATTGTCATTTTATGAACGGAGAGCCATTCCCAACAAAGCACACCAATTGGCATTGGATAATATAAGACCGTGTCTGTATCACATGGTTACGGCTGTATATTAACACGCGCACCTATAGAAGTCACTAGCTTGCGGCTGCAGCCACTTTCCATTGTCTCCTGTGCTATTGCAAGCCGTAGCTATATTATTCTGACACGGCTTAACACTGTGCCATATTGAGCCATGCTGAACAGTGCCTTCTTGAGCCTGCCACGTAAACAAGGCTTGCAATGACTACGGCTACGAATCCGCTTCCCATAGACATGTGTGTCACTCTCAGCCGTAGCCAATTCATTCAGATGCCGGCCAACGCAAACAGAAAAGAATGAACTCAGACTCACCTGTCAGCGCCGCGGAGTGGGCACTCCCTCCGGCCGCCGCGACCACATTGGACTTGCGCGTCATTATGCGCAACGGTCGCAAGACGTCCTCCCTGCGCTGTCCGCACGCCCGGCCCAAACCCCAGGCATACAGCTCTCCAGCGGCTAGGGAATAAAACAAATAATAAAAACCAAATCTGCACGGACAGGGAAATTGAAAAAAGGTTTCGTTTGTCAAAAAAATAACTGTAAATTCGGACAATTCTTGAGGTATCTTGGGGAGCAGATAGATGTTTTTGTATCAAGGAACTCGACATAAAATTGCCCCGGGCTCATTTTTTCCCGTTCTTTTCTTGGCCAGATGAAAGAAACTACGAGGCCGTTCAACTTCGTACCTTGCAATCATGTTGGGATAATACTATGGCTTGCTATGACTGACATGAAGATAAAATTAATTTATATGTGCATTACGCAGTACATTTTTAGAAATAAACAGAATAATAGCAGATTGGGTAAAGTTATGAAAGAAAACATCACACTAGCCAAATTTACAAAGGGACATTCGTGAAAAAAAAAATAGGTCGGGTAAAAAAAACCAAGAAGTTTCTTGTCTGGCCTTTTTGAAAAAATGATGGAGGTAGGCCCTTTTTTTAAAATTTATTTATTTCCTTCCAGATGGCGGATAGATTCTGCGATTTTCATGACTTTATTACTGATACAAAATGTGTCCAAAGGAGCCAAAACCCTTTCTACATAGCTACAATTTTGTTGGAAACATAAACAGACAAGTTTATTGACAATACACGTGCAAAATATATTGTAAATGTATGAATTTAAAAAAAAAATCAATAAAGGGAGGCGGCCGGAAAAAAGGAAGCAGGTGAGGCACCAAACTGGTTTATGTTTTTCTCAGCCTTGTAAAATCAAAAAAATAGAACCTACATATATCAGGGGTGTGAGTGACCACTGATAAAAATAGCTGAAAACAGCTGAAAAAGGTGTAAAAAAGCTGAAATTTGGAAATCTCCTATACTTTTGTACACAGCAAGTGAGGGAAAAAGCTGAAAAAGGGTGAAATCCAACACACCAAAAAGCTGAAATCAGCTTTAAAGCTGAGATTTCCCACCCCTGATATATAGTATCATAAAAATAAGCAACATATTTAGGCAAACCTGCCATTTATAAACTAAAAAAAAAAAAATTAACAAAAATTGTGACAAAAACGTCTCCATACATTGTATGTGCACCGTTCAACCAACAACCAACAGCCAACAACCTGTATCTAACACACACAAATGTCTTCCATTGAAAAGAATCATACTTTAATAAAAAACCCAATAATTTGAACTAACTTATCATGACAAAAACCGTGACACACATTTACAATACAGTCAGAAGGCAGACACGTTATCAACCAAACAAACAACTAATGACACAGCCACATAAACATTTGAAAAATAAACTTTGTTGATTTTTTGCCTAACTTTATAACTAAGATGCTCACAAGACATAGTGGATCAAAATCTGCCTAACTGTAGCAGAGTGACTTGCTTTATGGATGCCACAAAATGCCTAACTGTTTCATTTCATTGGCACTCTCAAACGTGGAAGTTGTTAGTAGACGTCTTCACTAACTTCAGACTATGCATTTCTACATACTTTTTTACATCCTTATTTTACAGAAAGAAAGTTTCAGCAAATAAAAATTCCTTTCAAAGTTTTAAAATGACTATGAAATCCACTAAAAACAAATGTTTGTTTCTTTTTTTACCCTTCAAATTTCAACTTTCTTTAGACTACAGTGTGGTAGATTCAGAACCTTCCAATAAAAATTTATAAAAGAAATTAAGAACGAAGTAATTTTTACCTGTGACTGCTAAACTATGGTTGGCACCGCACGCAATGGACACAACCCCCTCCGGCGATTCAAGAGCCTTTGGAGAAACCAGCTCAGCTCGGTTTCCGGATCCCAGCTGACCAAAGCTGCTACATCTGCAGAGGGAACAAACTTTGTATTTATAAATCCATAGAAAACTCCACTAAAAAACTACCAAGTTTACATTCCATTTTATTTGTAAATAAATAACCTTAAAAGCTAGCACCTTTTACAAAATGTATCATATAGTTAACAATTTGGGACTTTCAACCAACAGAGGGGGCTATTCCACGTAGCCATGGAGGAAATTGGAACTTACAAAAGGATCAATGGAAATATGAAAATTCAGTTGATGTAAGAAGTGTACAAATCTTAAACATATTTTGAAGGATTTGAAGGGTAGTTTGATAACTAGTGCGGTGGACTCGGACTCAAGTCCCATTTTTCATTACTCAGACTCAGACTCGACGGACGATGACAAATGACTCAGACTTGGACTCGGACTCGATCTCGGTGACTCGAAACTCAAACCAAAATTACCACAAATTACTTATTTTTTCAACAATATATTTACAAATTACTTTAAAGACGATCCTTTCCTGAGCATGCGATACAGTCAGTGTGGCGCAGAAGAAACGCATCTAAGTACTGTACACAGAGCGCCTGCAACTGGCTTGTTTCCAATATATTGATTTGGGAAATCAATGTATCGATACATGTACCCCAGTGTTCATACTTGATGCTGCGTAAATGCAAGCTTGATAGTGTTCCGTACAAGATTATCCTTTCTAGACGTTGGTGCCTTGCCAGGCAGTACCTTCCAATCATGTGTAGTGCTGTATGAAGCAACTCAGTCGCAGCTGTACCTTCATTTTCATCTCCGATTCACGTATGTCAAATACGAAGACTGCGTGTGTTGACATGTTATGCTCCGCAATCAGCTGGTGTTTAAATCTGACGTACACATGTGCAGTGTTCATTAAAGGCAGTGGAGACACACTCGAGGACAAGAAACCGGTTGGTATTAAAGTGGGTGCGATCGCCACGTTTCTTTTTAAACTAAATTACTCCCTCCTGTCCTGATTGATTGCCCATGTGCGTGCAATTTTGATCGTGCGCACGTTGCTTCAAATTGCCGCGTGTGACATGAAAGTTGCGTCAACAAAAGTTGCCTCGGCATTGCCAGAAAAAAATTGCCGGCAACCTGATTGCCCATAAATTGCCACGTGTGACAAGGGCTTAAAACTCATGATTCGTGGATCAGACTCAAACTCGACCTTTATGGGACTCGTGCCTCGGACTTGACCTGAATGACTCGGGACTAGGACTCGGTCTCAGAGAGGTGACTCGGACTCAGAGAGGTGACTCAGACTAAGACTCAGACTCGATGTTTGGTGACTCGAATACAAATCTGCTGTGCTTTTAGCCCCCCTTTTTCCTGCACGTTCTTTACTACTACTCACCCACATGTAGCAACTATTCCAGTATCGTACAGGAACAGGCTGTGTTTCTCCCCACACGCCACCTGCGTCACTTTCAGGTGCGCAATGGGACGCAATATATGTGGCAATACCTGCACATTGAAAAATACACAAGAACAGAGAAACAAAAACCCCCAAAAAAAATTAAAACAAAAACTTTTATTTTGACAAGTAAATGCTGAGATGATGTCAATCTGGCAACGCATCAAAAGAATAAAACTGAACAATTGCAGGCAATATTATAAAAAAATATATTAGGAGAAAAAAGCAAGGGGGGGGGGAACTTGTGAACTGCTAAAAAAAGTTGTTGTTAATACATGCAAAGATGTACATCAGCCGTTCGTCAAAAAAAAAAAAACACAAACCAGATACAAAATACAAACTGGTCAAAATTCTCAGCCTCCAAATTTGATCAACGCTGTCTAAGTAAAAATATACATAAACCAAATGAAATAAAATAAATAAAATAAAAACCCAATTATTTGCTAAGGCCCCCCAAAAAAGTCTCCGGTTTCTGGTATGGAGTTTGTCCAAAACGTGGTGCGGCGAAGCGGCTTTTTTTTTTTTTACCTGATTTTTTTGCTTCAAATGTCGGCTGATGACTGCAAATGGTGCCCGACTAAACTTAGTGCAAATATATGGGAGTCCAGACAGGCCACATAAAGCTTATTCTCGACCATAACCCCAATCTAAAAACACGTTAAAATTGTGCAGCAGCAGGATTCCAGTCAAACCAGTGAGTTTGGCGGTTTTGAGACATCATCTTTCATTGAAAAAAAAACTTTTTCATTTTGCCGATCGCATGGCTACGGCGACGCGCGCGCATACCAGAAACCGGAGACTTTTTTTGGGGGCCTAATGACTACTATGTCAATCAATTACTTCAATAGATTAAGGACAACATTGTCTGACATCACAACCGGATAAAAATAAGTTGATTACTGGGAAAATGACTTAAACAATTGAAAAACACTGTTAAATTGGGGAGGAAATAAGCTCAGAACACCTGTTAGCAAAATACTTGAATTATTTCTGTTTATCTATTAAAACTGTTGTTAAACTGTCGTTAGAAAGAAAGATGCGTTCCCTGTGCTCTTTTCGATTTTAATCTCCAAAAACAGATTCCTTTTTGCTATTTTTCCAGCACAAGAGTATACTCACTTTTAATGATACATTGAACCCCCCAAAAACCTAACTTATGGTCAGTTATTGAGTTATTACTTTACTGGCAGCCAGACAATAATTCCATTCTTGCGGGGTAGGCTGAGTCCGCCCCACAATCAGTATCGATAATGTACGGACCAGAAGCCAGTCTGCTCGCAAGGTGGATCTGTTTGTCCCTTAAAAAAAACCTGTTTTTTTTCAGAGGACTGCGGACATGGAAAAAAGAGGTTTTCTTGTTGGAATAAAAACAAACAAGTTGAAAATTATTAATAGAACAAAATTGACTTTGTTGAAATGCCTGGGGAACTTACTTTAATCCATTTCAAATGATATTAATAAACAGAAACAGAAACAAATTCCTAGAGTTAGCAAGCATTAGGCTCCGAACAAAAAGGGAAGAAAGTTTACTGCTATTTGATTAGCTCAACTTGGTCAAGCCGGGTTAGTCCAGAGCCATTCAAGGGAGAAAAAAAATGACCAGAAATAGGTTCACCATATGACCCTGCTAAATGCAACAGAAACAACAGTGGTAAACATGTTGTTGTTGTTGCATACTGTTGCATTTAGCAGTCAACTCAAGTTGCTTCAGTTGCCCATGCGTCACTGCATCTTGTTAGATTAACAGAATCCAATGTTGCAGTTTATTGCATTTAGCAGAGTAACTGCTCACAGCGCCATGGCTGGTGCAACAGAATCCACAGTTGCATTTTGTTGCGTTTAATGCTCACAGTGCCATGGCTGTCGTAACAGAATCCAATTTTGCATTTTGTTGCATTTAAAAGAGTAACTGCATAGTGCCATGGATGGTGCAACAGAATCCACTGTTGCATTTTAAGCAGAGTAACCGCTCATAGTGCCAAGGCTGGTGTAACAGAATCCACGTTTGCATGTTGTGCAACAGAATCTACTTTTGTATTTGTTGCATTTAGCAGAGTAACTGCTCATAGTGCCACGGCTGGTGTAACAGAATCCACTTTTGCATTTTGTTGCATTTGACAGAGTAACTAGTGCCATGGCTGGTGCAACAGAATCGACTGTTGCATTTTGTTGCATTTAGCAGAGTAACTGCTCATAGTGCCACGGCTGGTGTAACAGAATCCACTTTTGCATGTTGCTGCATTTGACAGAGTAACTAGTGTTATGGCTGGTGCAACAGAATCGACTGTTGCATTTTGTTGCATTTAGCAGAGTAACCGCTCATAGTGCTACGGCTGGTGTAACAGAATCCACTTTTGAATTTTGTTGCATTTAGCAGAGTAACTGCTCATAGTGCCATATGGCTGGTGCAACAATACTGGCAAACTTGGTTAAAAGCCTGAAAGCCATCAACAATTATTGTTCAGCCACTGTTTTTGATGAGATATTCATCTTAAAAGCAGTGCAGCATATTGCAGATTTTGTTTTAAAAAAATGGAATAGGGTGCTATCAGTAACGACTTCAGTCACACCTGCTAACAACTGCAATGGAATGAAAAAACAAGCACAGATCATGTCAATGGACTAGGCAAAGCCTAATGGCAAGTACACACATGCTACTGCTAACGTGAATGACTTTCGAAAGCTGACCACAGTACTAGCCACAGAAACTTAAAAAAAAAAATAACCATGCATGTACAATGGCAAACAACTTCAATAAAAGTGAACAACTAATGGTTAATGAAACATTTGTCAACATTTACATGAAACCGAGCCTGAAGAGAGCCTCAAAATCTCTCAAAAATCAATTTGTAGGCGGGCAAGAATCTTGTTCAAGGCATGTTATTTGTTACCTACCTGTATGACATAGGGGTCGACTTAATTCAAATATTGACAAACAAATGAACAGGGCACTTGTTCTGCATGACATAGTTTGCTGTAGAAGTGGGTTAGTCAAACTAAAAGGACTGCAACATCGTCTCAGTGCATAGCAACCAATAAGATTTCAGAAGCACTAAGGACTTAAATTAGCCTGTCTTTGAATACATACTATGAAACAAGGTCAGCGTCCAGTTTAAATTAAACCATAACCCATTTTTTTTGCATTCACACTACAGACGTTCTTAATATCTGTCAAAAGCAAACACAAGAAAAATCAAAGTGTTAAAGTTTAAGCCAATTGCTGCAGTCTGTCATGGCCAATGCAACAACTTGCTAGTTTAAAGGCACACACACATGTACCGGAAGGATCCATTTACCCATTAAAGATCGTACTGCGAAATTATTCTGTTCTGGCTCCCTGACATTGAGAAGAAATCAAGAAAGGTACCGGAAAGCAATTTCCAACGATTTCCAATCAGTAAATTGACTGATTTGGGGAATAAAGAGTGCCATTGACGAATGTGTGTTTCGTGATCAAAAGGTTGTGCACAGTTTTGCACTATTTTCGCGAAGAGTATAATATCCACTGAGCTGAAAATTCAACAGGTTAGGTTTTGAACCTACTTCTTTGGATTTTGAGTGGTGTTATTTCTTTGAAACAAACAAAATGCATGGAAAGCAAAATGATCCTATTATGCCTTTAACAGTTTAAGCTCAAACAAATTTGTTGTTCTTGGAAAGTTTGCGAGCTGACTATGATAGAAACCCACATTTCATGATTTTGTTTTTTCATCGCAGACCATCAAGTAACGAGGTTTTCTGCACCACTGCATTACTAGGCAAAATGGCTCCTTGAAAAAATCTTAAACAAAAAAGATAGAAAGTCCACTGCCACAAAAGTTAAAGGAACCACGACATGGACATTTTCAATGGTACAAGAACTGCTTTCTGATATCAAGAAGTTAGAGGAAAAAAATTGTTTTAATAATTAAACTTGAGGGGACTGGGGAGTTCAGGCAAGCTGGAAAGATTCAACAGCTTTGATTATCAACGTCAGTAATTAGTTTCTCAATAATTAACGAAAATCATATTATGAAGATTACATCATTAGAGTGTTAAGCAATGAGTGCAAGCTGCCATCTACGTGCTGCAAAATCTCAGCGCAATCTACATGCTGCAGGCAAATTGTACCTCGTCACAGATGTTTTTTCTAGCCAAGCGTTGCAGCAGGAATTGACGGTTTGTCTGCAAATATGAGGAGAGATGGCACTGAGCATCATCGTTATTGGGGGAAAACATTTAAAACTTAAAAGAAAAAATGGTGGCACAGTGGTACAGATCAGCATATGTGCATATAGTAGCAAGCCTTTGTCTGATTACTTGTGTTTTGTTTCCAGAAATACACCAGAAAGGTTGGGAGAAGTTCAGACAAATGTCAATGCCACTAAACTGCAATTTATAATGCAAACCTATGCACGTTTTATTTCACTTATGAACGTGTAGTTTATGAATGAAAAAGAGATGAAATGAGCGAAGGTGAGTTGAAACCAATGTACCACACTAACTAACCACATTTATTCCATTTTACTCTACTTGCAGAGAAAATGGTAATAATGAATAATTCTATGGAGGCCATAGGAATTTGGGTTTCAATGAAAGCTTAAAATGAATGTGACCTAATTTCACTCGCTTGTTAACGCAGTCACAAATTTACATCATTGAAAAAAAAATGAAACGAGTTAGTTGTTAAGCATCTGTCTTTAGATTTTGAGCACTTTTGTTGCTTCAAACGAAAAAAAAATTCACAACTTACTGACAAATGCTCACTTTTACCTTGAATGACCTTCAGCTTCCAAGCAAATATTGTTGTTAGGCAAAGTTACTTGCTAAGCTACATGCTAAGCTAACTTTGATTAAGAACCAGCTTCAGGCAACAAACTTGTACAATGTACATATCCCAGAACAGAAACTTGCATAGTACAGAAACCATTGGCTCAGCAAGTATAGGGTACCAGCCAAAGAGTAATGCAAGTACATTACTTGTAACCGGTTCCCAGGTGGTCTATGCTGAGCACATAACTTTTGCTTAAGCAATATTTTTGGCTCAGCAGCTCTGTAAAATTTGAGCCCTAGTTGGTCGGACAGACCTGGTTGTCTTTGTAGTTCTCAATCCGGAAGTCGTAAGCTAGCTGGGCGTAGAAGTTGTTACCCCAGCTGAGGCATAGGCCGTTCTCTAGCCAGAGGACGGAGTGTCTGCTCCCGCAAGCTAGTCCCTTGATGGGTGAGGCCTTACCCTCTGTGGGTAATCTCACCCGCTGGGGAGTCAGATGGGTGTCCTTGTCACCACAGCCAAGCCTGCAACAGAAGAGATTCACAATAAAGCAATGAGTAAATTATGTATCACGGTTCCCAGCCTCGTCCCCACGATCTTGCTGCGCCATGTCGTTTCCCATCATGCCTTGCGCGATCTTAACCCTGGGAATTGTGTAATGTAAATTGAGCCACTATTTGGCACCTTTAAATTAGGACTGCAGTTGATGTGTTTAACGCATGATGCAGTGCTTCAAATTTTGAACGTTTTTTTGTGTGTAGAATGAATCCCTTCAACATGAGATTTCGACGTCGCGTTATAGAGCAAGGATTAAAATGTACGTACCTCTGGCATCCCTTTACAACACAAGATACAGGTTTTTTTTGGCGAACTTCAAGAATCCGTATTGTACAGTCTTGACAAAAATTGTACGTGACGTGACGCGCAGGAGATAACGAGAGCGAATATACATGTATGGGGCGTGCAGTCTTTGAAATACGCGCGCAGTTGGCTCTGAATAGCCAATCAGCATCGTTTACGTATTCTACACGGCCTGGGTTAGTGAAGGAATGCACACGCAGCCCATGCATGGAGTCGAGGCTGCAGGGTTCCCATTGAAATCTTAAAATGAAATTCAACGTCTTCTCCACAACATTTCCAGGACAAAATCAGGGCTTTCGATGAACAATTCCTATGCTGTTTTTGACATCTTAGAAGTATTTCCGATACACTGGCCAGTTATCACACTGAAGCAAGGGACACCACTCCCTTTCAGCCTTCCAGTTTGACACAAGACCACTGAGCACCATAAACACGTATGAAGCATGCGTGTACAAGTACCCACAAAGAGGAAGTATACTAAACTGAAATGCAAACTGGAACACTGCCATACTTAAATAAAAACACATCATCACGTATTGGTTATTGTGGGCAGTGTGGCCTAGTGGTTACGATTCGTGACTCATGGAAGGAGGGTCAGGGGTTCGAATCCAGCTGCTGGTCATATGTTGTGTCCTTGGGCAAGCCACTTCACCCCCACTTGCCTCTCTCCACCCAGGAGGTCTAAATGGGTACCGGCAGTAGCTGGGGAGTAACCTGCGATGGACAAGCATCCCGTCCAGAAGCTAGATAAACGTCGGCCTAATGGGCCACATTGGCTCGTGACAAGACTAGTTTTTTACATCACGCATGGGTTATGGAGGAATAGAGGATACAAGGACTGTATGGGATGTTTGTACTTACTGTCCACTGTTACCATTCCCCCATGAGTAAACTTGATCTGAGTCTGAAAGGTAAAGTTAAAAAACATCAGAATAAATACATTAAGATGACATAGATGTACGTTTGATTTGTATAACAAGTATAAAAACAATTTGATAACACAAACGTGGGAAGATCTGCAGTTATGCAAGACACTGTATATCAATTTTATGTCATGTTTCATTAACCCTAACTCCCCAGCGTACATGTAATTTACTAGGAACCATACCCATTCAGGCAAATTCCAACATCCACATGGGAAATTGTGCACACACACTGTTGGACTTAGTTTCTGGAGGTATGCCAAACCCAATGTAAAAGACCATATATTTAGGGGTACTGTACCTATCCCAACAGATTTAAAGAGGTTGCGGAATGCTCGAAGACATTTTCATCATTTTTCGGGTATATGTAGCCTAAGGTGTGATGAAATAAAAACGACTATTGTTTCTGTCATAAAATGAGTACAAAGGTTACTTTTGAGAGCTATTTTTCAGGTCCTGTTTTGACCCGAACGTGCATTTTGTGTAAAAGTCGTCGTTGCGGGCAGCAAACAAAACACAGTAAATCGTGACGTAATAAACAGGACTCGTTTATGCTACTCTGCATTGGGAGTCCTGTTTATTACGTCACGATTTACTGTGTTTTGTTTGCTGCCCGCAATGACGACTTTTACACAAATTGCACGTTCGGGTCGAAACAGGCATGACAGGACTTGAAAAACAGCTCTCAAAAGTACCTTTTGTACTCATTTTATGACAGAAACAATAGTCGTTTTTATTTCATCACACCTTAGGCTACATATACCCGAAAAAAGACGAAATGTCTTCAAGCATTCCACAACCTCTTTAAACAAAACCTGCTGTTGAGCTTTGATGGGTTGGGTTCGGTTAGGGTTAAAAAATCAGATTGCCATACTCGATTTGTATAGTTTTTTTTTTTAACATAATAGCATATTAAATTATGAGACAGATTTGTTATTTTACAAGTGGTATAGTTTTAATATGCAAAAAGATAAAAGCGTACGAGTATCTTGTGCACAAATACCGGTAGGGGTGTGCATGTACGGATAGTATGGGAACCATGTACCCGTTTGAAAAAAAAGCACGGGTACCAACCCCAAAATTCAAATCTCAGGTGTTTCTGTTCAGATTGTTCATAAATACTACCACTTCGGAGCATTAACCAGCAGGTTTTGTTTAAATCTGTTGGGATAGGTACAGTACCCCTAAACTGATGGTCTTTTACACTGGGTTTGGCATACCTCCAGAAACTAAGTCCAACAGTTTGTGTGTATAATTTCCCATGTGGGTGTTGGAATTTGCCACAATGGGTATGGTTCCCAGTAAACTAGGCTGGGGAGTTAAGGTTTTAATGCAGCAATTCATGTGTGTACTGTGAGCTTTATAGCTTTATGGTGAAAACTGTAACTTTCGCGAGCATCATAAACTACATGTATGTTTTGTTTTTTCCATGTAGCCGGGTTTTCACTTTGAAAATTCCCACACAAATACCATTCAAAACCTTTCTTTTTCATTGTCTGAAAAGGTACTTTATTGTAAAGTAGTTGGTTACGGGTACCCGATCCTATAATCTCTGGGTACTATGCACAAAATATACAATTTATACAAGCATATGACTGCTCACATAATGTCTATCCCTATTCTATTTGAAATGCTCAAGATGCTAATTGACACTTTCACCACACTGAGTTAATTCATTTCCTGAACTACCGGGTATATCAGGGTGTTCTTTCACCAGCATTCATGCAAATCATTTACTTATTGCGACTGCTGCACAGTACGTGCAGAGGGATGTCCACTGTTGCATTAGCACCTTGATGACAAATAATCAAAATGTAGACATAACTACCAAAGAGTGGTTTATTTAATAACTGTCCATTGCAATGCATTGACAAGGCATTGCCACCCCAGTCAAACTGTGATATAGCGTCTCAGTATGTGAACCCATCATTAAAGGGGAAATACAACATTTGCAAACATCAAAAAATAAAACTAGCAAATCATTTTGAAATACCTTGCTGGACTGTTGTTAGTGAATGACAGTGTAAAGCATCCTGTAAAATCATGGCACCTGGTATACTGTCATTTTCAAGAAAAGTGGTATTTTTGTATCAATTTCCAACGCTGATCGGCCGATCAGCGTTGGAAAACACTGGCTTTTTTTCAAATACTGGCCCCAGTTGACCATCACACTTGTTTGCAATCGATTACACACGTCTATGAACGGGTACAAGCCAGCTAGACTGGTTCCCTGACCTTACAATTCCCCAATATATGTAAACTGCTCTGTTTCTTCTTAACTGGAGTCAGGGAACCAGACTACAGGAAAATGATTGTTTTTCTTGGTTTTTATAGCATTTTCGAACCCAAAACCTCAAAAAAGTCAGTGTAACTATATTTGCTATTGTGGCGGAATCTCCCGAGGTCAATTGAAACCAGAGGTCAGGGAAGGCAATCACCGACTGAGGCGAAAGTTCCCCTAACCCCAAACTATGTTTTCTGCCTCGAACCTAGGGAAGTTTTCGAGCAGCCTCTAGGCCCAGGGATGCAAGCTCGTTTTGGTGGAAATCTACCGCCCAGTTGGATACTGATTACCAGGCCCTGTTACTCTAGTACAGAACAGAACAAACAGACGAAGAAACTGCAGAAATATTGGACACTGGGATACACAATTCTCTTTGTGGAAAGGAAATGATTGGTTTATTTAATCACGGACAATTCTGACTTAATTGGGAACTCTTTGATTTATAAGGTTATTATCGTTGGATTGTTATGATTGTATAAGTTTGAGCGCCTTAGCTGATCAGTATACGACAAAACCCGTGTGACAATAAACTTGACCGAGTACAGTTATTGACTACCTGTGACTATTCCTCCCAGGCCTCTATGTCAACCTCTGGGTCGACCCTCTATGTTATCGCACGTCTCTGTGAACCCACGACAACAATCCTTATGCCTGTACTTAGTCACCCTACTCTGTAAGTCAAACACTCAACTGCAACAATTGCGCAAACATGCACTAAATTACACGATAAAGCAATTCGGTCCTACCAGGCTAACTGGGTCACACCACGGGGCTCTGCGCTCCGTACAATCGCTCAACCACGGTACGAGAAGTCAGGCCGAAACAGCGTCAACACCGGTACACTGCACCACACACGGCCTCGCCAAAGCAAACGCTAGCTTCGTCACGGACAATGGCAATTACACTCGTACACTACTACTGAGCCCGCTCCATACACAGAACTGAGGAACAACTTACGCAACTCACGCAACTGAACTACGCAACTGAACAACTGAACTGAACTGATTCACGCCCGGCCGACCATGCGCTCAAGTACCACGGCAAGGGTAGCGGGGCCACGCCCAATCACGCCGTGATTGGCCGCCAACCCTTCACCTCTGCCCGGTAACACCAATCACGCGTACGCGGGTACGGGAAACACAGATCGCAAGTGCGGTCACGGCCTGCCTCGCCCCGCCCAGCAACAGCGAGCGCGCTCCGATTGGCGGCCACTCCCGCCAAAACCACGAGACATTGTCCGCTGACACGACCTGACTTCCTTGCCAAGAAATTACAAGTAAACACTACCAAATAAGGGGAATTAGACTGGTGTCGGCCCACCCCATCACGCCACACAGGCCCGAGCAGAGCTTGGACTGTCCCAGTCCAAACCAGCTCGAACCCAGTCACGAGATGGGTGACCGGCACCAGTCTAGCTAATTAAATATGCACAAGCTTTTTAAACTTCACGTAAAATTCACTCTTATGTTTTCGTTATAGAAAACTAAACTTATGATTTCTCTTTATACAAAACTAAACTTATGTGTTCCTTTATACAAAAGTACATTGATGTTTTTCAGTTACACAAAAACCAAACTATGTGTTTCTTTGGCACAGAATGAAGCTTAGGTTTTCCTTTATACAGCATTAATCTTATGTTTTCCTTTACACAAAACTAATGTTATGTTTTTCTTTACACAAAACTAAGTCTTTGTTTTTCTTTATACAAAACTTAGCTTATACATGGTAAAGATTTCCTTACAATGAATTTGAACCACACAATTTATTTAGAAATCATGAATCCTCGGCAAAGATAAAAGCACCCTGATTGTTTTTCTTTTTATACAAGGAAATGTTTTGTATCAACAGATTACAATTTATGCAGATAATTTTAGGGATAAGACAGATGGAAAATCACACTTAAACTCGAATAGTATCCAAAATTAACTGGGAATCATTTTAACAAATGGACGGATTTCTTTTCAAACAAGATGAAGGCAATTATCACTGATTTTAAAACTTTAAAGATAAAATAACTTCTCTTTTACACACTAAATAGCACCGACAAAACTTCTTTTAACTGTTAAAACTAAAAACAACTACTAACACTAGATAAACTTTAACTGGCCCTAAGGACTTGCTAGTTGGGTCCCGTCTTCCTGAGGATCATCCAGTGCAGCGTCCAGCTCTGTCTCTCGCAGATGCTCGATGACCTCGTCGTTTCTCTTAACGACCCTGTTGCGGTAGATCACTTCGGTGGTCGTCCTTACTCGGATTGTGACGAGTCTCCTCATCTTCAACGGAGGTGAGTCACGACCACTTCGGGAGGGGGAGGGGGTCATCTCTTCTAGGGGTAGTATAGATGAGTCAAAGTCTGCCACTCTACCGGTATCTTACAGGCAGGCGGTGCTCTCTCCTCGGGTTCCTCCGAGACATACTGGTCCTCCCTGGCACTCTGATGGGGTCAACCTCTATCTGAACATCCCCATTTTCTACCGGAGCTTCTATTTCCGGTTCTTCTTGCTCTATTTGCTCTGTTTCCTCTGTTTCCTCTGTTTTCTCTGTTTCCTCAACATGAGGAGTCTCTTCTGTCACTTCGACTCGAGGGTTTTCTCCTGCTCTATCAATCTGAGGAGCTTCTTCACATGCTTTTGGAGAGTGACTCCAGGGTACCAGTTTCTCACCCTGGTATGGCTTCAGTCTGTCAGAATGCACCAC